ACTATCTCATGTTTGACATATGTGACAAATGCCTTTAAACATGTAGACTGGCCCAAGTTGTGTTCCTGAGTTCTAGTTTGTCTTCTTTCACCTGTCTTTTAAAATAACTTTAACATTGAAATATTTTGTCAAATATTTTTTACAAAAACTGCTCATTTATACTTACTAGTTGTTTAATACTTCTGAACTATCTGATATAATTCATGGATTATAATACACTGCAAAATACTGTGTCAATTTTTACACCCTGCAATGTGTGCCAAACTTCCTTGCAGCAAATTTCTACTTCTTAACATCATTGGAAAGATACATTCTGCTCAAGAGTGACGTCCCACACTCTGCCCCTGCTAAGGGGCATGACCTGCCTAAGGCACCCCTTCCTCTCGGAGGTCAGTTGTCTCCACAGGACAGCCTAGAACCTGAGCACACTTATTGCCCTGTTTCTAGGAGAAAGAAGCAGAAAAAGACCCTCTAACTAGTTAAAAAGCAGGTACCTGCTCTGAAAAGCCAGGAGAAAATTCAGGTTAAAAGCAGTAATCTCCAGGTGGACTGTTTCAGCATCTTTGGAGTAACCCAGGGCAGGGAGTGGTCTTGGATGTCCATCACTTTGTTCACTTCATCACAGCAAGATATGGGATCGCTTCTGTCCCTTAAATTTCAGAGGGTGGGCCTTTGGTCATCACCCACTGCGAGATGCAGGTGGGCTCCATTAGCGATGCACAGGAGGGCAGGAGAAGGGGATGAGGGTAGTACACAGCATGGAGCCTTCACATGATGGTTTGTATCTAGATGCCTCTCAAAGCTCCCTGCATTTTTAGATAAGGCTTTTTTGGAGGTGGCTGAATCTAGAGTATGTGATTGATTCATGGTTAAGGGTGCTACGATTAAGAGTGGGTGATTTCTGGGGTCAGTTTACTGATTAGAGTGTCACTGTGCTGATCCCAGCAGTCTGAATAAGATTAAGAGGTGCTGTCTCCCCTTCACTTGCTTGCTTTTGCTGTCATCCACCGCCATGAACTATTGCTCCCCCACTGTGTGCCATCCTGCTTGGAGCCAGCCAATCATAGACTGAAACCTCTACAAACTGTAAGTTAAATAAAACCTCCCTCCTTTAACTTTGGATGTCAGATATTTTGTCTCAGCAACGATAGAAAAGTAAGACAGCATCCCTTATATATTGTAGAAGTAAAACAAAATGAGAAGTATATTTAATAAGTGCACTTCCTTACATTTCTCTGGAAATAACTGTGTCAGGAAGGACATCCATTTTAGGTCCAGAGGTAGCAGGTTATGGTAACCCTCTGGGTGTACATCTGCCTACACAATACAAACAAGAAAGTGAGGGGAAGACAGGACCAAAATCCAGAAGACTGTTAGCAGCTACCTAACCTGCATGCTAAAAAACTGAAGAATTCAGAAGCAATTGAGAGATTGCTAATTACATGTGAATTACCAAATCTAAACTAAGACTTAAAAATCTAAATAGTCCAATAATAGGCAACAAAATTGCAGCAATTTTAAAAATCCTACAAACTAAGAAAAGGAGTTTCTGGGCTCACTGCCAAATTCTACAACTTCAAGCAATATCTAACACAAATATTCTTCAAACTCTTTAATAAAATCAAAAGAGCAGGATTACCCCCAAAATCTTGGTTTGTTGGTTATGAGAAAAGGTCTTGTTACGTAGTACAGCCTGGCCTCAAACTTACTTATGATGTCAGGCTGACCTTGAATTCGTGACCTACTTGGTCAGAGTGTGTGATCTTTTTGGTATTTCTTGTGTTCCGTTTGTCAGTATTTTGAGTACTCTTGCAAAGGCAGGGACCTGCATGTGACAACCCATGTTGTGATTTCCAGATGACGAATAGGAATGACAAAAGCCCAGCACTACTCTTAACTGTACATAGTGGTTCCCTTCATCTTGCCAATGCAGGATGCACAAGTGGAGTGAAAATCCCTGGAGTAAAAAGGGATTACTTATCCCTTAGTGAGGGCTCTGTAAGACACCTGCTATCTCTAATATTTTGTTCCTAGGATGCTAGATACAGGAAGGAAGGGACATTTCACAGGAACACCTATGCTGGTGGCAAAAGTCCAAACCCAGCCTGAGATATGGAAAGAACAGTCCTCTTCCTGACAGATTTATCCCATGAGGTAGAGCCCCAATAGGACAAAGGGGGCATTCCCTGAAACTCAAGCAGTCCCTGACATCAGGAGTCTTTAATATCATCTCACCAGGGCATCCCTGTACCAAGGGAGCTCTATCTTTGTATCAAGTTCCATCTCTTATGCAAGACTTTCCTTCCTGCCCTATCTGAGCAGACTTCAGATCCTTGCAGCCTGGAACTTTACCTTGAATAAAGATATTTTTCAGACCTTCAAGTAAAGGCTAGTGGCCCTGAAGCAAGCATTTATGTCCTGGTAGCCTGGATCTAGGATATAGATTACACTGAGGCCACACATACTAGGTTCTTGACACTGAAGATACAAAGGTAACTGAGATAGAGCAGACATCCTCAGCAACGTCAGGTCAGTGGGTCAGGCCTAAGCACAGCCCATTATTCATACCACAGAAAGAGGGTACTGGAGGAAGTGGAAGAAGGTCACCTGTTAACTGCATGTGGGCCATCTGGGACAGAGGATCAGACAGCTATCCCAGAACAGTCTGAGATGCAGATACCTGCTTCCTGGACACAGGAGAAGTAGTGGGCTTGGTATGCATCCTCCCAACCAAGACTGACATTCATGGTCTCCCTAAGAGTATTCGCCTCCAGGGTCCCACTCCCTCTAGGAGGTTAAATGAGTCCCTTAGATGAGGGACCAGGATAAGGGCTGGCACCTCAAGAAACTGCTCAGGAATGGGATGGTATAGTGTCTCAGAGTGAAAATGTTAGGGGTTGGGTAGAAGACAAGGTAGAAAAGGAGAAGAGAGGAGAGTGTCTTTTAGGGTTTCTCTGATCCTCTGGCTGGATGTGGGAGAATGTGGTAAGTGTAAAGTTGGAAATGAGACTTACTAGTGAAGATATCTAAGATAGTTAATTATAAAGAGAAAGGGTCCCATTGCTTTGGACTTCTAGTGAGGGTTCTAGATGACAGTAGCTGGTATGGGGGACCACCACACTGCCCTCCCCAGTCCCAAGTGTGCTTGTTGTTGTTTTGTTTTTAATAATTTTGTGCTTACTTATAAGAAGTACAGTCTGTAAAGAGGTGACTTCCCTAAGTTGACTTTTAGTTTAATTAGTGAGTCTGGCCAAGGCCATGTACACGGCTGTGGTCAGACTAGCATTGGTCATCACCAGTGGCCATGGCTGAGCTCAGATAGATGAGCTCAGATAGATCCCATGGGACTAATGTATGAGAATATCTCCACTGAACCCTTCCCGACTCTGGAGGAAAATTCCTTCCCATAATTGGCTACAAAACAGGCTACTCATTAACCATACGTTAAATCTGGCTGTTTTCTCACAGGAATGGTTTGTGCCCTCTGTTACAAGCCTTGCCTGCATAACCACTTGCCTAGCGCATCCAGCTGCTGTTTTCCCCAGTGAAAGAGTGATCAATAAATGCTGAGGTTCTGGCTGCCTTATGGCTTTTTGCTCCCCAAGAACAACTGGACACCCCAGGTCTCCATTACTTCACATTCTCTTTGTCTTTTTTTCTCTTGCTGTGCACCACAACATCTGGCAAGAGGTTGGGGTCCACTGTAGGGATCCCTAATAACTTGTGTTGTGGAAGGGGTCACTAATAGCTAAGAGCATGTGTGAGAAAAACTGCTCACCTTATAGCAAAGAAGAAAAAGAGAAAGTGCCCAATGTTTCACAGTTCTCTTGAAGGGTCCATCAATCCACCCAACAATGACCTAAGAACCTCCCACTAGGGCCCACATCTTGAAGCTTCTACCACCTTCCAATAGTGTCAACCTGTGAATTATGATTTTAGCACATGATCCTTTGGGGACATTCAAATACAAACACTAGAAGCTTGTGTCCCCTAGTCAGCTGTCATGTCTGGAGACCTGAGCTGAGGACCAACGTCTTGTGTGTGTCTATCTGCCCACTGCTGGGAGCAAGAGAAGGAGTCCTGGCCACACCAGCCCACCAGATTCCCTCTGATGCTTCTGTAGTTCGGCAGCCAGAGCCCAGTATCATCTGTAGGAAATAAATGTCAAATCCAACCCTAAGCAATGAGAACTGTCTCACTCCCTGGAGAATGACACTAGGCTAAGATGGCCTGCTGTAGGACCCCTGCCACTTTTCCACACCTGTGAATAGGCTTATGGAGGATTATTTATAATGGGACCATTTTCTTCATATGTAACTTTATTTTTTTTAACGTTTAGTTTAGTTTTGTTATTTTATTTTGTTTACTTATGTGTCTGTGTGTGTTTGTGTGTGTGTGTGTGTGTGTGTGGCCAGCTCAGCCCACCAGGGGGCGGGGCTGGCTGGCATGTGGTGCTGGGGGATTGAACCGCGGTCCCTGTGCTTTGCTAAGCTTGTTCTAAGTAGGTGCTTTAGACCACTGAGCCATCTCACCAGCCCCCGTATGTAACTTTAGGTTTTCTCCCTTATCTCTCTTCCCATCCCTCCTAAAACAATCCAGCCTTCTTCAGCCACTGTCTTCATAGGATCTTCTGTTCCGTGTTGCTGGCACATCTTGTCTCGTTCTGATGATATCTCCCTGTCACTCAGGATTTGGCTCCTAGTCAGGTACCAGTCCCCTTGTAGTCTTCTTTCTGCTGTAGCTCCCTATATTTATTATTGCCCTAGAGAATAACAGATCAGGTTTAATGAAACTGGCAAAGGAGGCAAGAAATGCAAATGAGAAGGTGAGTGGCTAGGAACATGGCAGTGAACAGAGATGGTGAGGAAATTTTAAGGGGATGTTTGGTCTAACCTGTAGCCTACAGAGGGAGGACATAGGTTCGCAAGAGAACACGTGGACCATACACTTCAGTATAAATCAGACACTACAGTTTATTAACACTAGATGATTATCTTCTTGAAATATCGAAATGACCCTACATGAAATGTGATCTTGCACTACGTGGACAAGCACAGGCGAGGTGCCCAGGCTGGAGGGTCAGCTCCTACACGGATGAATCATGTGGCTGCTCTCAAATCATTTAATTGCTTGTGGTCTTAGCTCTATCATCTGTAAAACACAAATATTCATGACTGTGTAAAATGGAACAAATGCCAAGAGCCTAATGTCACGGAGGGCATCTATAAGCCACTTTATAATTTTTACTTCTCATGAGCATCCCCATTCCATTTATAAGAAATAAAAGATCTCCAAATTAAAGTTTTTTCAGTGAAATAAACCAACAACCAAGTGTAGATACAACCCACAGAATGGGAAAACATTTTTTACCAGCTATTCCTCTGACAAAGAGCTAAACATCTAGACTATATAAAGAATTTTTTAAAAATTAGACCCCCAAATTTAAAAACACAATCCAAAACTAAGTATCTGAAATGAATAGACACCTCCCATCTCAGGTGAAAAATTACAAATAGCAAACAAATATACTGGTCATTCAACAGATGCAAATTAAAACAAGATGTAAGGTTTCATCTCATTCCAGAAAGAATGACTATCATCAAGACACTGACCAATAACAAATGCTGTTCAGGCCATGGGGGAAAAGAAACCCTTCTACATTGTTGGTGGGAGTGTAAATTCGTACAACCACTACAGAAATCATTATGGAGATTGCTCAAAAATGAAAACAAGAGGTTCCATTTGAACCAGCTGTTCCTCTTCTAGGTATCTACACAAAAGAGTGAAAAGCATCATACCACAATGATATATTTGTATTCATGTTTATAGCAGCGCAATTTATAGTAGCTGAATCTTGCAAACAGTCCAAAGTGTGGCATTTATATACAATGGACTACTACTCTGCCACAAAAAAAGATAAACTTGAGTAAGCTTCTGGAAATGGATGTACCTTGAGACCATAATGATAAGTGAAATAAGTCATACACACAAGTTTAAATACCACATTGTTTCTCGTGTGTGAGAAACCCAAAGGATATATAAGGAGCAAAACTTATGATACAGAGACATAGGAGGAACATATTCATATGGGAACAAGGATGAGGGAGAGAGTAAGGAAAGAAGAGTAAATGGATTTAAAAAAAGAACTGACTGGAAATAAAAGAAAAAAGAACTGAAGAAAAGAAATGAAATATAACTTTTGCAAACTGAGGAGGAAGAAGGGTTGAAGGGGGAAAAGGAAATGGGGAAAAAAGAATTAAGACATGTCATATGGAGGTACAAATTCTCGATGATGAGAGTAATCATTATGTATGGCAAATGTGTGCTAATGAAAACAAAGGACCAGTAACTTACCCAAGAAACACCCTAGAATAAGCAAGTTGACCCTCAATTAATCGACTTCGTAATGACAGAACACAAGATCTTATCCATAGAGTGCAATTGCCCATGTGACTCGAGACTTCTGGGGGTCATCAGATAACCAGGTACTAACCCTAAGACAGCAGATGGATTTATATCTCTATCTAGAAACTTTATACCTGATCATATGATCTTTCAAAATGAGAGCTAAGTAAAGACACAGAAGACATAAAAAGACTCAGAGCTTCCCACATAAATTTATTTTTAAATTTTTTTGAAAAATTATTCCAATGAGAATAAAAATGAACCTCAAGAAAAGATTAGGACTTTTTTTTTTTTTTCCAGAACCGGGGCTTGAACTCAGGCCCTTGCGCTTGCCAGGCAAGCGCTTATTCTACTGAGCTATCTCCCTGGCCCCTCAGAAAAGATTAGGAATACAATAAAGATGACTACAGAAATGTCTACCATACTGCTTTTCTTCATCATCCTTAAAAATGCAAATATCTAAAGAACAATAAAAAATTCTTGGGCATAGTCAAGAGTATCTGGACTGTGCTGAGAACCCTCTGAGGAGAATGTAACTACATAACCAATGCACTTTTACTGGAAAATGTGTAAGTAAACTGACTTTGGCTAGAACTTCCAAAACACTCTGACAAGAAGCTCAGAATATCCTCTCCCCAGAAGTCATGACAGAGTCCCCAGTTCCATAACAAGAGAGTGTAAGCTTATTTGTTATTTTTCTTTCCTTTCTTATACAGCTAAATATCTTGAAGATAATTAAGTAGACAATAAAAGAAGTCTGGAAGCTGGGAAGAAGAAATCAGAGTGACTAGGGACTGCAACAATTGAGCAATAAAATGATGGATTCTCTGTGTTTATTTAAATTCCCCATACCAAGAACTTAGTGACAGAGAGGCCTGAAACCTAATTTCACACACACACACACACACACACACACACACACAGCTCTCTCTAGCAATGGGACAAAAATATCCCAAAAGAGACCTATGATGAGCCACAACCTTCACTCCACAACTGAGTCACCCAAAAGCAGACCCAATGCTCACTGCTAGTATCTTAAACCCACGAGCAATGGCTTCTGATACCTCTTCCTCAACAGAAGGAATCTTGCAGTGATGGTACAGTTATTTATCTTGATCATAGTGGTGTTTCCATGAAATTCTGTATTTGATAAAATTGAGATACACAAACTGAATGTATACAATTGATGAAATCTGAATAAGCCTTGGATTATAGCTTTATTGTTTTTATATTATACTTTAATTATATGTAATATTAACTGGGTGAAAGCTGCATAGGGCCTCCTTGTACATTTCCTCTTGTGTGTAATTAATTCTAAAATTCCTTAAACTAGGCATGGTGATGTATGCATGTAATCCCAGCACTGGGAGGCTGAGATAAAAGGACCATGAGTTTAAGACCAGCCTGAGCTACATGGTGACAGCCTGGGCAATGTAGAGAGACTCCCACTACAAAAAAGTAATACTAAAACTGGTCAAGACCCATGAGTAACAGTCTTCCTATAAAAATTAGTAAAATGGGTACAAACTAAAAAGTCTATTTGAATTTTACTAGTTTTACATACACTCATATGTAGTTGTATGTAGTTTTTGTACATGTAGAGCATAGGACGACATCTTAAGGTGTCAAGATTGAGTTGTCCTCAGTGGCATAAGTGCCTGCCTGGCAAGCACAAGGTCTTGAGTTTGATTCCCCAGTACCACAAAAAAAGATGGAGTTGTCTGCTTTTCTCTAACCTCCAAGTAAATTAGAAATCTCTTGTACTTCACCACACATGGATTTCACCAACTTCACCACAATGCCATATTTTCAATGAGTGGGAAAGGTTTGATATGGTTTGGGTTCTGTATGAATGGGGAAACTGGTATAGGATGGTATTTTAAATTATTGTTCTCCTTGGTGTTTCTGCTTAAAACATACAAGGTAGAATGAAACATTTTATGTTCAGTGTTTTATGACATCTATCAAAGGGAATCTCCAGAACTATGGTGCTTAGAGTGACCCCTGAGGAGGATAAAAATATTCTGGATAACTCCATCCTGAAACCTACACTTATCTCTCAGGGGGATATGGGACTTTCTGACTTGCTTAGTGGGCCAGGGATGTCTCCTTGACCTCCTCCTCATAGCCTGAAGGCCAATCAATCAAGTCTATCCCCTCCAAGTGAGTCAGGAAATCCATTAGTCTCCTAGTGCCCTAGTGCCCTAACCCAGTGTTCCTTAGGCCCCGTCACAAGCTTGACGTAGTTTTAAGCCCTGAAGGCATACCCAGAGTAACGCTTCTTACTTCTCTTATTAACAATTTATCCTGCCGCTAAGATAAGTCCCAGGAGCAGGAGGGAATACTCAAATGCAGATCCCTTTATGTGATACTGATGTCTGAAAAGCAGTGCAAAGAACAATTAGGTCAACTGTCAGAGGACCCTAGTAAGTTTGAAGATGGGTTTCAGACTTTGATCTTTGCTTTTGATTTATCATGGCAAGACATTCAATTCATTTTGGGCAATTGCTGTACCTCAGATAAAATACACAAATCTTATAAGAGGCTAGGGACTATGCAGATGAGCAATATGCTTTGAAACTGAATGGAAAGCCCCATGAAACAGCTCTTCTCCTTTCAACAGGACTAAACTTGTAATATAATACTAGACACAGACTAGAAATGATGTCCGGTATGCTAGCGTCTGTTAACACAGAAATGAAAACGTGCATTAAAAAGTGATAAAGTGAGTGGGATCATTCAGAATACAGAAATCTAGCTATCTTCCATAACAGACTAGAAGTCATTCCTAAATATGTAGAAAAATACTCAATTGACTATACTTTTTCACTGTGCTTTTTAATATGTTCACAGGGATGGAGAAGCATTAGTGGGATACCATTTCATCTCTCCATCAGTCCCAAACATTTAGCGTCAGGTAGAAAAATTTCACATGGGTCCACAGACACTTTTGTCCCAATTGCTGAACAAAGCCTTTTCTGTATTCAACAACTGGGACCCGGCAGAGAGACAAGCAAGAAAAGCTAGGTTTATGCCTGTTGCAACTGGTGATGCTTTAAATTCACCCTGTAACATTCAAGGAAAAACCCAGGGACAGCCAAGAAAGAGCTCCAAGGACAAGAGGACTGGACACTGAGTACAAGATTGGACCAAGTCTCTACCATGGCCCTGTTCTAAATGTAAGCTGCATAATGTGACTAACTTGGTCATTGAAAGACTGATTGTCCCCAGGATGCCATCCTGAAATGTGTAGACATTCTAGTTTGTAACAACTCAGAAATTATCTAACTATTTTACTGTATAGATTCTCAACTTTTCTAGATTTCTAGCTAGCTCTTTCTAGCTAACAGGATATAAAAATCTACAAATAAAAGGCTTAGATATCCCTCCAAAAAGTACAATATCTGGGACATATTCTTACACCTGGGGAATGACAGCTGAACTAGGCACTGGATCAAGGATATCTGTATTCTTGGACTTCCTGCCATCGAACAACAGCTTCACTCTTTCCTGGGGATGGACAGCTTTTATAAGATCTGGCTCCCTAAATTTGGGCTAAAGGCAAAGCTGCTACATGAGCCTGTCAGTGATCTTGAGTCTGTGCCCTCAAATGAACAAAGGTGACTGACTACCTTTAAGGAAATAAAGAGGCCTTTACCCAGGCTGCAGCACTGGAAATATTTGACCTGCAGAAACCTTTCTTTCTCTATATATCAGGAAAAAGAGTCATTTGGGAGTGTTGACCC